GGTGTGGGCCTTTCATGCTTTTCCTGAGGATGCAACCTCGTATAAGGCAGAGCAAAGTTCTGTACCCAGGACCAACCGTGCACTCCTCTATGAAAACTCAGACAGTTCGTACCAAAATATTTAAAAAGATTTTAAACTTGAATAACAAACTGTGTCACAAGAATGTCACAGGAGTATCCTCAGGAAAGTTGGATGCGAGAATTCTCACAGGACACACCAGCTCACCACGCATAAGGGCCTTGCTTCTTTCTCTTCCTTCTGCATGACTTCTAAAATTAAAATCCTGGACATTCTCGAACGGCTTACTCCTGGGAACCATAAGTTTCTTTATGTAGAAAATTAACTATTTCTAGGTTCTTATCTTGTTCAATGACATATTTCGTGAGCACAGCAGCTAATCTTTCTGAGTTTCTAATGCATTGTGTCTAAAAGGCATATAATGATCATTCTTAGATGTTTTGTTGTGGATTAGCAACATCTGCAATGTACCTATCAAAGTGCTTGGTAGCAAGCAGGTGTTTAGTAAGAGTATCTATTTATTATTAACAATAAAGACGGTACAGTTAGCAAAGGCATTAATTACCTGCAAAATCACTGAATAATTAGAGCAATATAAGAGATTCTTGATGGATCACAAACTGAACATGAATGACAATGTAATTAGGTAACTTTTACAATTAAAATGATTAAAGGATTAATTAAAAAGCCAAAAAAATAGAAGTGAATATGAATGAAAACTAAGATATTAGTTTTCAGGAGTTACTCAGTATCTGAAAAATTCTGGAGAGTAGCTTTGTTAGAGGGGGATTCAAGAGAATGATAGTCACAGAGGTATATACCTTTGTCAAAATAATCCACACTGTAAACTTTATTTAATTTTTTTAGCCATAGATCAATTATCCCTTAATATTAAAAAAATGGGATGACACTATACATCAACAGCATGGTTACATTTTAAAAAAAGAAAAAAATCTAAATGTTGGTAAGAATGTAGAAAAAGTGGAATTCCAGTGGATCACTGGTAGGGTTATTAATTGATACAAGCACTTGTGAAACTAGATTTTAGCAGTACCTACTGAAGCTAAACATTGGCATATGCTATGGCCTAACAATTTCACTCTTATAAATAAACCCAGCAGTATGGCACATGTATATTTATAAAAAACATGTACAAGAATGTTTATAGCATTATTTATCATAAATAGCTAACACCAGATAGTCTACATGTCCATCAACAGTAGAATGTATAAGTAAAATGCGGCATATTAATTCAATAGAATCTATATAACTGTGAGAATTAACAAATTATAATTACATGCAACAAATATAATAAACAAATATATTATTATATTTGCTACAATTAGACAAATATAGTAAACATGATGTTACAGAAAAGAAGCATCATGGGACTTAGAATGGGAGTACATAATGTGTGGTTCATTAATACAAAATTTAAAATCAGGCAAAATTACTCTATGGTGTTAGAAGTCAAGAAAGTGTTCAAGCCTAGATGGGGATGGGGATGGGGATTTTAGGGGCTGGTATGAACAATGAAGAGGAGTTATGGGTTGTAACAATATTTTGTTTCTGGATTTGGGTGCTGGTTGCAAGGGTGGGTTCATATTGTGAAACTTCAATGAGTTGTAAATGTTCAATTTATGTTTTACTTCAAAAGAAAGTTTACAGAAAATGTAACAACACCTCACAGCACTGATCACAGGAAAGCTGTACATGAGAAAGAATTAGAAGACTCGTGTGACAGAAGATGAACAGGGAGATCCAAGTTTTCCAGAAAAAAAGGATGGGAGGTTGGGAATGGGGCTTAGAACGGGAGTGGGACACATTAAAAACCAACAAACAAAATACTGGGCTCCAAAAGGGAGCGAGAGGTCGCATATAAGTAAATAATGTTGGGAGTAATCTAGCCCAGTTCTAGGAAAGTGGGTTTGGGGGAAAACGTTTAGAGGCTTTTTTGTTTCCATGGGCTGGAATAGGTAGCGTTACTTCTAGGGAACTTATCTAACATAGATGGAAAGAGAGGCCAGCATAGAGCCAACATGGTACTGACAGGTAAAAGTAGGCTACACTGGCCAAGTAGTGCATAAGTTAGTACTGGGCTTTCTGCTCTCCTGATCTGCAGTGAACTTGGGAAGAGAGAAGACTGGGAAACCAAGACACAGGCAAAGTGGGGCCATCCAAGTTGCCTTACTGTTTAGCTATTTCCACTACAGTGTTTAAGCCCTTGCCTTACTACAGGTACAGCAAAGGCTAGTCCCAAATCCTACGCACATAAGAATTATCTATATGTTGTGTGGGATATCTCTCAATTCAAGGGTAAGGGAAGAGATCAGTTCAATCTGAAAGTGCACCATGGAACACTGCACCTGGGTGAGATTTATCAATAGATTCATTCTTGGAAATGAATAGCAGTGATGTCATATTTTGTAAACATGCCTGTTCCTTTAAGTGTTAGAAGCATATTCAAAATTGAGTTGATGATCATTTTTATTTGCTTCCTCAATAAGATTTAGGACCTCTTCCCTGATAAATAAAACAGGATTTTTTAACTAGTGCAGTTATATATTTCCTTATTATTTCCTTTTCTTTCCTTCAATATAGATATTTGGGGTTTTTTTCTTTACCACTGTTAATCATACTGTTTTCTGGTTTATTTTCCCCACAGAACTGAAGCACAACTATTGAAATGAAAATTGCATGGAAATTTTACATGTTATTAAATCTCCTGTATTCAAAGATAATATTAAATATCAGGTAATCACCCTCCATTTCATGATCAGTTTACAGTTACCAGGTGTCATTAATACTTTAAAAATATAATTGAAAACAAAATACAAATTGGATTATGCCAGTTCTTCCTGACAATATAATTCAAATAGTTTTAGTAACATGAGGAGCATGAAGGATTTAAGTAAATAATACACTGAATTTCTCAACCTGTGGGATTTCTGAAATAGATCATCCTGTGAAAATGAGAAGTTGGGAACATGCTTTCTCACACATTATATAATTTGTCCTGGCCTTGCCTGAGATCACACAGTTAACAGGTAGAACTTGAACTAAGAATCTTATGTGCTTTTCAAGATCCTTCACAACCTTACTGTTTGTAATCCCATTATTTAAGGTATCTAGACAATTAGCTTATTCAGTACCTACAATAGTCAGTATGTGATACATATATGGGTAGTGATAATTATTATTGAACACATTTTGGATGTCTTAGAAAATAATCATGTGACTAACATCTAAATTTACAGAAGAATACATTTTTGAGACATATGAAATTTGGAATTAAGAAATAAAGAAAATATAGTTAAGATGAATTGTAAAAAATATTAAAACAAAATTTTACTTTCAAAATTCTAATTACCATATCTTCAAGAGTATATGAAAATTTTAGTTAACTTGCATATGTCTTATTTATATGTATGACATGTTCAATATTCTCCCTCTAGAGTCTAGACCAATTCTGTGAAGAATTTCAAAAGTTTAAGTGATGGAAAATTGGGTGAAGAATATTCTAACATCAAGGAAAGAAAAAATACACATATGTAAATCCTACTTGTGAAGGATACGATTAATGTTAAATTACAGTAAAAATATTACTGCATGTATGGCTTACACAGGTCTTTGTACTTGTTCTTATCTATGTCTGAGAGCTTTTCCTCCAGGGAGCCTTTTGGATGTCACCCTCACTGCCCTTGGGTCTTTGTTCAAAGATCACCCTTTCATTAGAGACCTTTCCTGACTATCCTATTTAAAAGTGGAATCCTACTCCCAGAACAATCCAGTTTTTTTTAAGTCTACCATAGAGCATATATTATACTTTAATATTCTATATATTTTGCCTATTTATTTTGTTTATCATTTGTCTTCTCTTACTAGAATGTAAGCTTATGGGAATAGAGATTTTGATTTGTTTGCTAACTCTTGTATTCCTAGTACACAGAAAAATTTTAGAAACTGTGTTGTTGTTCAATAAATACATTTTTTGCATAAAGAAAGCAAGCTGGAAATGAAGAAAAGATGGAAGGAAGGAGGAAGGAAGGAAGAAAGGAAGGAAGGAAGGAAGGAAGGAAGGAAGGAAGGAAGGAAGGAAGGAAGGAAGGAGGGAGGGAGGGAGGGAGGGAGGGAGGGAGGGAAGGAAGGGGGAGTAAATGAAGGCAGGACAAAAATGAAGAGAGGGAGAGAGAAAGGAAAAGAAATCAAGGAAGAGAGGAAGGCCAAAAGTTGTGTAACATAACCATTTTTTGAATATGGCCTTTGTAAGAAAGTACCATTGATGGGATCAACTATTAATTCCTGCTGTTAATTAATACCTTGAACACTATTGCTAGATCTAGAGGGGAAAATGCAGGGAAGAAGAAATTAGAAAAATAAAGGAAAGAAGGCTCATAAAGAACAGAAAGAGAAGTAAATAGGCAGTCAGAACTGGCCTTGACAGTTTGCATTATGTTGCTTAATCCTCATAAGAAATCTGCAAAGCAAGGAAAGCTGAGACTTGCCAAAGTATACTGAAAAATTAAGTCAAAGACATCGCTATCCCAAACACTCAGAGGACTCTAAGGATGGAGAAATAGTGAGAGGCAGAGAAGGGTATAAACTCAGGTTTCCCATGTTCAACCCAAGTTTTAAAAGTTTTCTGTAAAGAAAAGATTTAAGAACCAAGAAGGGAAAGTAAATCATGTATCACTTCAAAATGCTTGCCAAAGTATTTTCTGGCAGTGTCATAATTTATCCTAGTAAAGGTACTTCCATTGATATTTGAAGATTGATTTACACATTGAAAAGGTGTTTCTTTTCACAATATTATTTGCATTAATAGCATACTTATTAATACCACCATTTCATTGTTAAGGAATGTATCCAAAAATAATGACCAGTGATTTGTATGAAGATATAATAAGTATATTTACTTCAGTTTGGCATATGCAGTGGAATGAAAAACTTTTACTGTATTTACAAAAAGAATAAATAAGGCATTAAGAGTCATTAATAAGTGGACATTGTAGAGACTTACCTAGAACTTTGCTGTAGTACACATTCCATTCTCCCCAGTAGGACTGAAATATATAGTCTTGCAGAGGATAGGATATGGCATTTTTAACCCTTTCACCAAAGGTCATCTGGTCAGTGAGCTCTGACAAGGCTGCGGGTACATAGGAGGCAGGTGCGGGGATTTTCCCACAGTGTCTCTCTACCGTTGAGGCTGGAGAGAACCTCAATGTGTACATAAATGGAATTCCTAATTTCAGAGCAACCAGGTCCCCACAGATTGTTACTGGGTCAGCTACTAGCACATCAAAACTACCTTTCTGAAGTCTTGACATTAACTTGGGGTTATTTAATACTCCATCACAGATTTGTATGTTAATTTGAAAAAAAGTATCTAGGAGTTTTCCTAGTTCTTTGTAGAAAGTCCAGAGTGTGAGAGGAGTTGGTCTATGATCTGTCCACAACATAACCATATGTTCAATTAAGGAATCTATATTACTCTTTGTGAAGGAAACAGGTATCACCTCAAAATTCACAGGAGAATCAGGATTGGAGTTGATGAATAAAGTTGCTGATGAAGCCAGTACAGTCACATTGTGATTTCTTTGAGTTAACTCTTCTAGAATGATCTTAATATTTAACCAATGGCTACCATCTGTTGGCCAAATTAACACATTTCCACTTAAAATAATTTCAGTCAGAGTCAAATTAAAAACCAGCAGACAGACAAACTTCTTAGGCATGGTGATAGCCATTATGGAAACCAATGTACTGTAGTTCTTTTCAGATGAAAATAAATTTTGAGAGTATATTTATGTAAGTTTTTTTCCAAATAAAGTAATATTTTATGTAACAGCTACATTCATTCATAGGTCACTTGATCTACAGATGAAAAGGAAAACAATGTAATTAAAATTCTTATATGCATTAATATGATTATTTCAACAACAAAAACAAATTATGGTCCTACTTTAAAGAAAAAAAAGGCAAGCAGGTTATAAGCCTAGTATCTGTATACTCTGTGATAATAACTATTATTTATAAAATGTGTCTCCAATTTAATATATCTTTCCAAGATCAGGTTAAACGAAAAGTAGCACTTCTAATTGCTAAAGCCACTTGGTCAAAAACAGATATACCTTCAAATTGTATGTCTTTATTATAAGGTATTTTTACATGCAAAACAGATTAG